TCCCTCTCCTCTCTCTTGATATTATTCTATGGGTTCAGCATTGAAAACTAGGAGGCCCATTCGTTGGGATGTCCTACATCCAAGCCACCATTAAATTCCATTCAGATACATTGTTCTGCTATTGTGGCACATATTAATGTATTGACAAAACACATTATTTTACAGCTAGACAATATGCATTCTTTTTTTTTTTTTTGCGTAGCCAGCAAAACAGAACCCCTTATGGATAATCCATTCTTGACGGGTATATGTGAGCTTTTCTCCTCCCAAACAAAAACCTTTTACATTTAACAGAAACTCTATTTTGCAGAGAACTCCTGGCCCCCTGGGGTGATAAGGATAAATGCTGAACTGTTGATGACTATGACATGGCGGATCTCTAATAATGTTGACGGCTAGGTAAGACAGATATCATAGCAGTCGTTTTAATACAGACGTTCAGTATCTTAACCAGAGTCTAAACTAAAATGAGACCAAGTGATAGAGGATGCTAGATGTATGGCTGTAGTCTGCATACTGCTGCTTGTGAAGGTATTGACTTGATGTCATGATGCACACCTCCAGTATGTTTCCTGTGACATTGCGCTCACTCTCACTCACTCAATCACTCACTCACTCACACACTCACTCAAGCTCTCTCTCTCACACACACACATACAGAACAGATTGATGACTCACAGTTCAAATCAAATAAAATTGTATTGGTCACATGCGCCGAATACAACAGGTGTAGAATTTACAGCCCATTCCCAAAAATGCAGAGTTAAAAAGTAAGAAAATATTTGCTAAATAAAAAAGGAAATAGTAACACAATAAAAACAATAATGAGGCTATATACAGGAAGTACCAGTACCGAGTCAATGTTCAGGGGTATGAGGTAATTGAGGTAATTGAGGTAATACAGTATGTACATGTGGGTAGGGGTAAAAGTGACTAGGCAATCAGGATATATAATAAACAGAGTAGCAGCAGCGTATGTGAAGTGTGAAAGTGTGTCTATATGTGAGTGTGTGTGTGTGGTGTGAATATTAATGTGTGTGTATTTTGTCTGTATGAACGTATGTAGTGTGTGTGTGTGTGTGTGTGTGTGTGTGTGTGTGTGTGTGTGTGTGTGTGTGTGTGTGTGTGTGTGTGTGTGTGTGTTGGAGTGTCACTGTAGTATGTGTGAGTGTGTGGGTAGTCTAGTGAGTCTAGTGCATAGAGTCATTGCAAGGGAGTCAGTGCAAAAACAATTTAGATAAAGAAATCAATTATAAAGGGGGTCATTGCAAATAGTCCGGGTAGCCATTTGATTAACTGTTCAGCAGTCTTAAGGCTTGGGGGTAGAAGCTGTTCAGGTGCCTTTTGGTCCCAGACTTGGCAGTCCGGTACCACTTGCTGTGCGGTAGCAGAGAACAGTCTATGACTTGGGTGGCTGGAGTCTTTGACAATTTTTAGGGCCTTCCTCTGACACCGCCTGGTATAGAGGTCCTGGATTGCAGGGAGTTCGGCCCCAGTGATGTACTGGGCCATTCGCACTACCCTCTGTAGCACCTTGTGGTCGGATACTGAGCAGTTGCATTACCAAGCGGTGATGTAGCCAGTCAAGATGCTCTCAATGGTGCAGCTGTAGAACTTGTTGAGGATCTGAGGTCCCATGCCAAATCTTTTCAGCCTCCTGAGGGGGAAGAGGCGTTGTTGTGCCCTCTTCACGACTGTGTTGGTGTGTTTGGACCATGATAGGTCCTTAGTGAAGTGGACACCGAGGAACTTGACCCGCTCCACTACAGCCCCGTCTATGTGAATGGGGGCATGTTTGGCCCTCCATTTCCTGTAGTCCACGATAAGCTTCTTTGTCTTGCCCAAATTGAGGGAGAGGTTGTTGTCCTGGCACCACACTCCTAGGTCTCTGACCGCCTCCCTATTGGCTGTATCATCGTCGTCAGTGACCAGGCCTACCATCGTCGGCAAACTCTTAATGACGGTGTTGGAGTCGTGTGTGGCCAAGCAATCGTGGGTGAACAGGGAGTACAGGATGGGACTGAGCACGCATCCGTGAGGGGCCCACGTGTTGAGGGTCAGCATGGCAGCTGTGCTGTTGCCTATCCTCACCACCTGGGGGCGGCCCATCAGGAAGTCCAGGATCCAGTTGCATAGGGAGGTGTTCAGTCCCAGGGTCCTTAGCTTAGTGATGAGCTTGGAAGGCACTATGGTGTTGAACGCTTAGCTGTAGTCAGTGAACAGCAATCTCACTTAGGTGTTCCTTTTGTACAGGTGGGAAAGTGTTTCTTTAAATTATTAAACATGTACGCATACCACGCTGCACCTTGGTCCGATCCTTTATACAACGAACGTGACAAGAAGGCACACCTGTTAATTGAAATGCATTCCATTCATGAAGCTGGTTGAGAGATTGCCAAGAGTGTGCTAAACTATCATCAAGGCAAAGGGGGGCTATTTGAAGATTCTCAAATGTAAAATATATTTTGATATGTTTAACACTTTTTTGGTTACCACATGATTCCATATGATTTATTTCATAGTTTTGATGTCTTCACTATTATTCTACCATGTAGAAAATAAAGAAAAACCTTTGAATGAGTAGGTGTTCTAAAACTTTTGACAGGTAGGATATATATATTATCAACTACACACTTTTATTACATTTTTGATTGTTCCCCGATCTCAAAAGTGGTCTCCTGATGTGGTTTAAGCATTGTTGTGGACTTAAAACATCAGAATTGTTTTATTTTTCTCTATAAAAGAAAGTGTGATTTTGAGAATGAAAACCTGAACAAATTAGGAAAACTCAGAAACCGGGAAAAATTTAAACCGGGAAAACAGAATTTCCCGAAAGATAAAACTGATTTTATAGGGCCCTACAACTGTAGAGCGACTGTTCAAAATGTCTAACAATAACACCCTTTTTGAGATTGTGCAAAGGTTACATTTTTTAATCCAAACAATCAATGTAAATATGATATTGTCAAGTTCAAATGTAGTTATTTGTGTATGAAGGGTAGGTCATTATTATTATTATAGGCTATAGGCTACTTGCACCGCTAGCAAATTAAGGAATAACATCATTCGCTTTCCCAGGCTAGTATTCTTTTCATTTAGGCCAGTAGCTTTCAGTTGGCACTGGCCCGGTGTGCCACTGGCAAATTTACCTGAATGTCTAGCCCTGCAAAGGCATGCTAATTTAAAAGATGGCTAGTCATTATTAGCCTGGTTCTGACACAGGTCAGGACATTATCACTGTGCAGCGGCAAAAAATTGGTGTGACCAAATCATGTGCTGGTGCCATCAACTGAAAAAGTTAGTAGCACCAGCGCCACCAGTGGAAAAAGTTAGTCTAGAACCCTGAGTAGGCAAGCCAGATTTTGGACCCGGCCTTGTTGAGCCTCCTCCTCCTCCCTTTCTCATTGCATTCCGCGCTACTCCCTTCACCTTATCCGCCTCCTCTACCTTCTTTCCTCCTCACTCTCCTCTCTAAACAAATACACCTTGGACATTCCCCATCTTTGACTCCTCCCTCTTTTTCTCTCCTGACTACCCTCTCCTCCTCCTTCCCCCTCCTTCCCCTCCCCTCCCCTCGTCTGATCCTCTAAAGGTGTTGTTTGTTGTGGGTTATGAGGCATTATGGCTCCTAATCACCAGAAAGGTCACTGCATCTTCCTCCTCTGACAGCCAACCAGACAGCTGCAGCTCCCTCCTCACTGACATCATCAGTCTGCTCCTCTGCTGACCTGCTCATATTTCAGGGCTGCTATTAACAGTTTGTCTCCTTTTCTAGCCTAGCAAAACTCAAACTGTAACCGTTTGCAAATTATTTTAACACGGTAGGGTAAGAACGCTGTTGAGTAAGGTTTTAGTGAATACATGCACCTATGGGTTCAACTTCATTACTCTACCAAGGTTTTTGAGAAGACCTATTAGGTTTAATCTCCAGTGGTTATTCATGTGGGAAAGATGGTCTGGGTTGTAGTGACAGAGGAAGGTCAATCATAGACATTAATGATGTGTGAAAACAGACTGCTTCTTTAACAGCTCTGCTGCTGCTAACGGCCTCGACTAGCTCTGCCTCCCATTCACTTATTCCTCTAATCAGAATCAATGGCTGTTCTCTCTTCTATGTACCGCTTCCCTATCTCTTTCTCTCCTTTCACCCTACCTTACCCTGTGTTCCTCTCTTTAACTCTTTTCCACTTTCTTTCTCTCTCTCCCTCCCAAGGTAATTGAAAAACAAGACACTTTCATCAGAGTAAGACAGCGTCTTTGGCTGAGCCCTCTCACAATTAACACACCCAATTATACTCTAAGCAAGACAGACACAGAGCCAGAGGCAAAGACATACAGAGAGAGGGTGAGAGAGTATGGTTAGAGAGAGGGTGAGAACGATTGTGTAAGAGAGACACAAAGTGAGAAAGAATAAGTGAAAGAAAAAAAACAGATTGAGAGCTAGAGACCAGTGAAAAATAATAAGTGAAATAAATAGAAAAAGACGAGAGAGAGAGAGAGAGAGAGAGAGAGAGAGAGAGAGAGAGAGAGAGAGAGAGAGAGAGAGAGAGAGAGAGAGAGAGAAAGAAAGAAAGGCAGGAGGGCCTATGTCACAGATTGAGCTGACAGAACGCAGCGGAGTCACTCCCCATCCATATTCATGACAGATAACAGACCCTAACCTAACACTATCATCTTCTCCTCTGTCTCTTCCTCCCATCCTGCCCCTGCTCTCCACCCTGTCACCCACTCCTGCTCTCACTCATCTGATCACCTACTCCCTTCATCTCTCACTCCTTCTCAAAGTTACACCCACACCTTCCTTCATTCATCCTCTTACTCACTCTTTCCCTTCATCTTAGCTATACAGGCTGCTAGCCAGTCACTATGCCTTTTCTGGTGACACACCACCATCCTTCCCCCTTTCCCTCCCCTCTGGACGGTTGACATATCAGCATGACCAGACACACCTTGATCCATCCCTTTTCCCCTCTCCCTCCCTCCTGACCATGATCAGTGGACTACGTACCTCTTTGCACCAGCATGGTGACCTCGCTCCCTCTGGGACACTTGCTGAGCAGGTCCACCACCTGGTTGTGGCTCATGTTCTGGACGTTCCTCTTGTTCACCTCCATCAGAATGTCTGACTCCTTCAGGCCCCTGCAGCGGGGGTAGTCCACGATCTGCTTCACCCTCTGACCCCCACCCGTCAGGCTGTCAGCGATGGTGAACCCAAAGCCCTTATCGCCTTTCTCCATGTGCACCGTGATCAGCTCTGGCTGCCCGGCGATGGATGACGCCAGGGTGACCACGTCGCTGGAGGAGTAGCCGTGAGAGCCGTTGGACGCCACATCCGCTGAGGGACTGTGGGCCCGTGGCTCCCTCATCCCATTAACGGGCCCTCCGGTCTGGCTGCCGTGGCTGGACGGAGAGTCGTAGCTCTCCTGGCCATTGACGATGATGGGCTCCTTGTCCAGGATGGCCACGGAGGTCACCAGGCTGGTGTTGGGGTCGTCAGGGTCAAAGGGCAGGGGGTAGCCACGGCACAGGGCCAGGTCCACCATGGAGCCGATCGGGATGGACTGGAAGATCTTCACCACCTGGGCGTGGGTGTAACCCAGAACGATGGTGTCGTTCACACTCACTATCACGTCACCTACAGGAGGGGAGGGAGGGAGACGGAGAGGACAGTTACTAAAACAGTAACAGGATTACAAGCACATTAATAACACTGTTAGTAGCACAGTAAGCAATACAATGAATGTACTATGTGGGGTGCAAGTATCGTGACATACTGTATGGCCCCTTTATGTTTGTTTCTTAGCTTACACAATCACTTCAATCCCCATAGGAATTGCGCAAATGCTTTCTGTATAAATGGTGTGAAACAGTGCCCTCAGGTGGGCTAAGGCGGTGTACTGCACCTGTTTCCATCTTCCCATCCAAAGCAGCAGGACCGTCCAGGACTAGACTCTTGATCTGCAGGAACTCATCCGGCTCGTCGCCCCCAACTACGGTGAAGCCGAACCCGCGGCGGCTCTTCTTCAGTTTGGTGTTGATGAAGGTTCCCTTCAGCTCCGCTGGGTTCCGTGTGAAGAACGGCTTCCCTCCTAGAGAACACAGGGAAAGGAACATTATCTGGAATATCTTTTTTATCTCTGTCTGCCTCTCTGCCTGTCTGTATGTATGTCTGTATGTATGGGTCGGTTACATCATATATTACTTCACATTATTTGTCTACCTATGCCTTCAGAAAGATTAATATCCCTTGACTTATTGTACATTTTGTTGTGTTACAGCCTGAATTCAAAATGGACTAAATTCTTTTTTTTCTCACCCATCTACACACACAACACCCCATAATGACAAAGTGAAAACATGTTTTTAGACATTTTTGCAAATTGAATGAAAAGGAAATTCAGAAATATCTAATTTACATAAGTATTCACATCCCTGAGTCAATACTTTGAAGACGCACCTTTGGCAGTGATTACAGCTGTGAGTATTTCAGGGTAAGTCTCTAAGAGCTTTCCACAACTGGATTGTGCAACATTTACCAATTATTATTTTCAAGATTTTTCAAGCTCTGTCAAATTGATTGTTGATCATTGATAGACAACCATTTTCAGGTCTTGCCATAGATTTTCAAGTAGATTTAAGTCAAAACTGTAACTCGGCCACTCAGGAGCATTCACTGTCTTCTTGGTAAGAAACTCCAGTGTAGATTTGGCCTTGTGTTTTATGTTGTTGTTCTGCTGAAGGTGAATTCATCTCCCAGTGTCTGGTGGAAAGGTTTTCCTTTAAGCTTTTGCCTGTGCTTAGCTCTATTCCATAAATGTTTTATCCTGAAAAACTCCCCAGTCCTTAATGATTACAAGCATACCCATAACATGATGCAGCCACCACTATGCTTGAAAATATGGAGAGTGGTACTCAGTAATGTGTTGTATTGGATTTACCCCAAATGTAACACTTTGTATTCAGGACAAAAATGTATTTGCTTTGCCACATTTTTTGCAGTATTACTTTAGTGCCTTGTTGCAAACAGGATGCATGTTTAGGAATATTTGTATTCTGTATAGGCTTCCTTATTTTCATTAGTATTGTGGAGTAACTACAATGTTGTTGATCCATCCTCAGTTTTCTCCTATCACAGCCATTAAACTCTGTAACTGTTTCAAAATCACCATTGGCCTCATCGTAAAATCGCTGAGTGGTTTCCTTCCTCTTCGGCAATTGAGTTAGGAAGGACGCCTGTATCTTTGTAGTGACTGGGTGTGTTGATACATCCTCCAAAGCCTAATTAATAACTTCACCATGCTCAAAGGGATATTCTGTCTGCTTTTATTTTATTTTTTTTCATCTACCAATAGCTGCCTTTCTTTGCGAGGCATTGGAAAACCTCCCTGGTCTTTGTGGTTGAATCTGTGTTTGATATTCACTGCTCGACTGAGTGACCTTACAGATGATTTTATGTGTGGGGTACAGAGATGAGGTAGTCATAAAACAAATCATGTTAAACGCTATTATTGCACACAGAGTGAGTCCATGCAACTTATTATGTGGCTTGTTAAGCAACATTTTACTATTTTACTAGGCTTGTCATACCAAAGGGGTTGAATACTTATTGACTCAAGACATTTTAGCTTTTCATTTTTAATTACTTTGTAAACATTTCTAAAAACATTATTTCACTTTGACATTATGGGGTATTGTGTGTAGGCCAGTGACCAGAAATCTCAATGTAAACCTTGTATGTCTGTATGTCTGTCCATCCAATCAACCCAAGCATCCATATACTGTATTTATTAAATTGTTCACCATTTCTTTAATCAGTGAAAATAGTAAAGTGGTTGCCAGGAGAGAATGCTTAATATATTTCCTAGTGATCCATCCATGATATATTAGTCATAGCTAGTTGAAATAAATACAGCTTTCATTATAGTAACAACGTGTAGCTGATAGACAGGTTAATGACATCATACGGTAATTGTTTCCTCAAGAGTTTGAGCTCTAGAAACCCTTGATCACGAGGATCGCCTGGTCTGTGTCTGGTCATGCATGTGTGTGCCCTGGAACTGTACATTGAGGGTATATATTATTGCGAGTCAGATGTCCGTAGTACACAAGATCCTGGTATTGAAAGTGTGTGTGTGTGTGTTGCATGGTATACTGAAACTTTTTTGATACTCTAACATGTTTTGTTACTTTCGGTCCTTCTATCAAATTCTGTCTCACGTTGTCAACTGATGGAGAGAGGATCAAGTATGTCTATCAGTGCAGCCGATGTCCCCTTACAGCGCGAGCGCACCTTGTCTGCTCCACTTACTCATTGCTACACGATGTGATATCTAGAACCTAAAAGGGTTATTCGGCTGTCCCCATAGGAGAATCCTTTGAAAAACCCTTTTTGGTTCCAGGTAGAACCCTTTAGGTGTAACCCCACTCACGTTTGGTCCCTCCAGGGGCAGGGGGCAGCGGGGGCGGGACGTGCGGGTCGCGGTACGTCTCTAGGTGGTTATTGGCATAGTTGGCCAGGGGAGCACCAGCTGAGGAGTGCTCCTCTATCCACTCTGTACAGAGAGAGACACAGAGGGACTGTGAAATCACACACACACACACACAGAGATGCACGCATGCAGTCGCACACGCACGAACGCACACACACACAAATACACAAACATACACAGACATGCACACGCACACACACTGACAAACACAAACGTACATAAATTACAAACATAGGTACACACACATAAGCGTCACATTCATGCATTTGCTCACTTAAACTTGCTCTACATAGTTAGCACATGTACTATATACACCCACACTCCTCAAGATCCCCAAATGTCTTGACAGACTAACACATTGTTCATATTAACTGGCAAGTAGTCATTTATTCTAACCCAGTAAATTATACAATGAGAGAGACATTTATTTATAAGATGTTTTAACATTACATCTGATCATTACATGCCATTTCATCATAACATTGTGTCTCAGTGGTCCCAACACTTAGCAAGCATGATATCAGCAGCAGTTTGCACATACAGTAGATGGCAGCATCGACAGCTCTAAGCCTCTGATGACAAATAAGCAAATGCTACAGTACATGTCTTGAAAGGATGATAATGATGCTTTAATGATCTTTAATCAAACTAATAAGTACCCAAACACAGACTGGACAGGACAACAGGGTCAGTTCCACTTCAAATCCAGGAGAATCAATTGAAATTCCAATTCTGAGGAACTGAAAAGTGACACTCATTTTTAAAGGCAACTTTCCAATATGAACTGGGATTTCGATTCACTTCCTGGAATGACTGACTTCAAATGGAATCGACCCCAACACTGCAGAACAAGACCTGAGACAAGACAAGACGTGACGAGACAGAGACGGACATGAAGAAAGAAAGAAATGGTGCCTTGCCAGGGCAGGAAACGAACCTCGAATGTACCGCTCACCTTCAGGAGGCTCCAGCTGCATCCTGCGCCTAGCCTCCACTATGGGGTTCTCATACTGGGTCTTCCTGTTGATGTGACTGGAGAGAGGGGGGAAGGATAGAGCGAGAGAGAGAGAGAGAGAGAGAGAGAGAGAGAGAGAGAGAGAGAGAGAGAGAGAGAGAGAGAGAGAGAGAGAGAGAGAGAGAGAGAGAGAGAGAGAGATTCATTGTCACCATGATAAATGGCGGTACACAGTGTTTGACATCCTCTGGCTCACAACCTCTTAATTCCCTCCAGCTCAGTGCTAACCGCATAGGACTACACACTGGCCACACAAAATGGAGTCCGGTTTCAGCTAAATCTTCTTAGGTTCAAACCTATTATAATACAATGAATGTAGAAAAGGTCTGACAGCTAGCCATTGAAAGTCAGTATGTGTGGCAAATCAGAGAGAGAAAACACTAGTTCAGCTGAAATGACACCGTTTACAGTAAACTATATGAAAATGCTGATGCATAACATAAATCAAATGTATTCAGTCTTATTCATTATTGTGGGATAAATGAGAGGAATGTGAAAACAGAGCTATGTCAGTAAGGTGTTTAACTTACTCTACGTAGTACACCCCATACACTGGGTCATCTATCTTCTCCCATCCTGCAGGCAGCTCTGAAACAGAGAAGGAACAGCCATGTTACATCACTGTAATGACACATTCACTACAGTTACTGGTGTTGCAGTAGATGTCAGAATAGATTGGTGTGGTGTGATGATTCTCAAATGAGCCCAGTGGTCAGTTGAGTATTTATAAGAGGTAGTGTTCTCATTCAGGAAGTACTTCCGAGGGTGACGCTGTACTGTTTTTCTTATTGAAGGTCTCTCAGGTGTGTGAACCAACACTGAAGTGAATATATGTTTACCTGACCTGACTCTTCGCTTTATTATTCCTATTTTTTTTTCTTCTCTGTATTGTCAGTGGGCCACGGTGCAGGCATTTAATAATGGAGTCAAACTACTCCCTCTACCTCACGGAGCAAGGTACACACAGGCTACATACACAGCTAGCTGTCAGGGGAGTCTCTGAACTAAATTACAGACTGCAGAGCTTGACTGCTGCCTCCTACTAGATTTACTGTTCATACGCTCAGGCCCAGCCCACTCACAATGGCTCCAGATGGGTCATTTTTATCTTCAGAGCAGAACCAGGTTGTTTTCTATACATTGAATCAACTGCTACAAACAGTTGATAGATGCACACAATTGCATGCCTCATGCAAGTCAGGCAGAGAGGGCCTACTCCAGTCTCCTTTCAGCTCATTTATTATCTGATTTACTTAACAAAAGGCACGTCTCAATAGGTTGTCCAGCACGTCCAGGTATCCTCATGAAATGGCACAAGTGTGGGTGGGTGGGGGGGTTCCTCTTTTGTTCTCTATTGCTCCTCTATTGTTCCTTGAGCAAGGGTGAGGCCGATGACATCACAAATCCCCATCAGACCAACTCCTTGAATGCCCTACTCCTTGAAGTTTGTAGTTGTGTCTAAAAAACACTATTTTGCTCAAAACATATTTTTCTACCCTTTAGTGTGTGTATTTTACTGTATTTATACTTGGGATATCGCTTTTAAACAGTAAAAGTAAAACAAATGGCTGGAAGTCTTCTTTAAACTGACACAATCCCTATTAAAGCATTAGCATCTCACTGTATTTGATTTCATACAAAGACATTAGCGCCGTGTGTTAGCGTGGGCTGCTGCCAACTCCCACAAACACTTTTGGAGTGGGCTGGATTTCACAATCGATAATCAGACTGCCTGCTTCTCATGTGCCAGAAATAATAGGAGCTCATAGGCCCGACACTCAGAGCCCTGAAAGAGTCAGAGATTTCATTCCCTTTCAGGAGTGTTTATGTTTCTGTCAAATAGTCTACAAAGTGGCCTGTGAATCAGCAGTGCTATTTTCCAGTCTGTGGAGCAGCTCAAAGTACATAGATGAACCTGAGATGTCAAACCAAACACATTACTAATGTGTTCTGCTGCATTAAAGAAAATCACTCCTGCCACTCACTCAGTAGTTAGAAGCAAGCAGCGAGCAAGTACAGAGACACATAATTTAAACATTTGAGCTAAAATCTAAAATGATTGTGAAAATCTAAAATGATTATAATATACAAAGGACAGATTGAGACCCCAATATACAGCCAATAGCCAATGCATTGACATAGAGAGAGAGAGAGAGAGAGAGAGAGAGAGGAGAGAGAGAGAGAGAGAGAGAGAGAGAGAGAGAGAGAGAGAGAGAGAGAGAGAGAGAGCAAATAAAGGTGCATACCTAGCTCATTGTCTGGTTCCTCAGTGTGTACCCCTTCTTCTCCAAGGTGAAGAGAGCAGGATGAAACAGAGAAAATAAGATGAAAACAGAAAGAGGGTTGATTGGTTGATGGAATGACAAAGAAAAGGAAATAAAGAGAGGTAGTAAAGTAGTATTACAGAGAAAGACAAGTAGGTAGAGGAAAAGAGATCTTTAAATCACCTAATTAGTCTTTACCAAAAAATAGATGTGCCATAATCCATAAAATCAATGACGTATGAAACTAAGATATGACAGATGACAGCAAAATGGCTACACGGTGGTGCCATTTCTGATATTGGTCGTTCTGAATTTGAGTACCAATTTCTGTGTTCTGAAGATTCACACACAGACATCTTTATCATTATTGTATGTTCGGTAAACAAAATGTATGTCACATTGTTACATAGATATTTGTTTGACTACAATTTACACAGTGGAGTAAACAAATCTTTAAATGAGCTATTACACAATTCCTTAGATGGAAAGCCAATCTCAAAGTAATGACAGGACCAGTCTATACAGCTCACCAGTTTAGAGATTAAGATTAAGATGACTTTATTGGCCAATTGCACAGGTCCAACCGAAATGTGACTATACCCCTCTGAAAGGGATTGGGACCTAATAACAGAAATGAGTTACCTCTGGTTTGTTCAGCCAGACACACCGGTAGGATTGTCAATCTCTTTTGTGTTCACACAGCAAAGACCTTGAAGTTATCAGTCACTCAGCCTTGTTAAAATACTCCAAACCAGGAGGTGGCAGTAGCATTGTTTGTATGTGTGTGTTGCTTAGTTTATGGTCTAGATTCCAATGTTAGCTAACTAGCTAGGTGTGCTAATGTTGCTATTTTGTAGAAAGCCCTTGTTGATACCAGCCAGATGGCCACAGCTAGATAACTAACTAGCAAGATGACGTAGAAACAATTTAATTCACTCTCCCTAATCCCATAATGCCAGTACCAGCCCATAGCCATATGTTTAGCTAGCTAGTTTACGTTAGCATATTCACTAGCTAGTGCAACATAGCTACCTAGCTAGCTAAGGACACTGCACTAATGTTGCAGATAACACAGGCAGCTGTTTATGGAAACGAATCCATTGTGATTTAATTATAATGTCAATACTTGCTAGAACAAAAGTGGTACCTGCTGCGTGCCGGCCCGGTAGCAATGAACCTGCAGTTTCTACTTGTGTGTGTGTGTGTGGGGGGGGGGGGGGGGGGGGTTGGGGAGGGCATTTTCTCCGTACATCCACGGTTAAATGTTATGAACCCATTTATTTCCCCATAAGCTTTGTCCAAAGATTCACGGCGGAGTTAGTGCCTACAAAAAGATGCCATTACTATTGCTCTCTATAGAAAAATATTTAATCATGTTTATATCTCTGAGTATGAGCTCAATGGCATCATCTACTGATAGCATCAACAAGGTGCAAGATTAGGTGGTAAACAACACAGCACGGAAATGAGTGAAACACAGTCACAGCACACACACACACACATACACACACACACACAGGGCCTGGCTTACCATCATCCTCACACTCCTCCAGAGGTTTCAGAGGTTTCTCAAGACAGCGAGGGTCGATCCACGATGTGGTCTTTGTGTTGTGGCTGAGGAAACAACACATACACAGAGCTGTTAAAGATTGGCTCTGAAGTCAAGGTGATAAGCACAAAAAGCAAACAAAAGCCCAATGATCTCATCAGCACATGGATGTGAGGGGTAAATGTCAATGGGCTTGTCGCTAAAACAAGCAGGTAAAATCAAACAGAGATCGCTACACGCTACATACGCTACACTAAACAGACTTCTCCCCCATTGAGAAACACAGACAAGAGGGTTGAAAGGAGACCTGTCAGTGTCGACGTATTGTCTAGAATAGGTAGCTGTATCCTCGACATCCCCACTGCAAGCTCTCCTTTCAATCCTCTTGACTTTGCTAGTCCAATCATAAAAGCAGACCAACATGCAGGTGTTGAATGCACCCAGCCATTTCCTCATCCTCTCCCAGCCAGGCAGTCAGGCAGCCCCAGCTCTGTGTGTTGGTCTGAGGACAGAGGGCTGGGCTGCATGGAAGTGGTCAGGTGATCTGACCTGCCTATGATCTCTAAGGAGATCAGGCTGTGGAGGATTAACGGCCTGGAGAGCACTGAGCAATGACAGGCCTGTCTGGGGGAGGGGAGGAGGGAGAGTGCTGGGATACAGGACAGAGAAGCTTGACAGTATAGGGTACTGTATAGGGTATGTAGTCTATGAAGTAGACCTCTCTGTTCTTGGTGTAAGCTAAGGGTAGTTACTGTACATAGGGTATTGGGTAAATATGTACACTATGACGCAAGCTATTGTAGGTTGTAGGATGAAGTATATAGGGTATATAATACATACTTTGTAAAGTACACTTTCTGAATAGGCTAAGGGTGGGTGGGGTATAGGGTATAGGATGTAGGGTATAATATATATTATACATACTCTATAAAGTAGACTTCTCCGTTCTCTGTGTAGGCCATCTCCCAGTTGTCTGGCAGGGGTCCCAGGGGGTCTTCAGGAGAGGCCTGGGGCTGGGCGTGCGTCTGCTGCCCGTTGTCCAAGCTGGAGGCGGCCACGTTGTTCAGACCATAGGACGGAGCATTCTCGCGCGCGGGATAGGGCCGTAGAATGCCGCCGCGGCTCTCGTCCTGGTCGCTAGGGTTACCTGTGCACAACAAGGGAGAGGGGAAGAGACTACGCACTAAGGATCCTGGGTAGGTAAGGAGCACAACACGAAACAAAACAGAGTGGGGAGGTTTATGTTTCATGCAGCAACCGGAATGTGGGAATCTATGGATGGAACGATAAGACACTTTATGCTAAGACTACTGTGTGCATTATATCAATGCATCACCTGACCATAAAAAAGAGTTATACTATGGTTCACGACTAAAAAACCTATTTCCCTCTTTACCTCCTTCTTTCTCTCTCTGCCTACCTCCCTCCTTCTGTAAACCCCCTGCCTGCTAGTCCAAAAGGAATGGGGCCCAATGACTATAATGCAAATGCAGTCAGCCTCCATTTCTCTAAACCCCCCTACCCCTAGTTCCCTCCCACTCTCCTTCCCTCCCTGCCTCCCTCGCTCCTCTCTCACATCCGTGAGCTTTTCAGGGGTGATCAAACGCTAATTCACCACTCTGCTAGGCTGGCAGGACACACAGAGAGGGCCATAGATTCACACCGTCCGCCCACCCGACCAGGAAAAAGCCCCTCCATCTAGGAACTGACTGAATGTCTCACACACTCTCCAGGATGGAACAGACTTCAAAGAGAGGGAGACGGACAGAGAGAGACGGAGAGAAAAACACTCATCCTCAACTTGCTTCCTTTCTGGGCTAACACATTAACACAGGTTCTGATAAGCAATATTTCAAACTCAGTTAGACATCAGAAATGAGGCCTAAAAAAACAACACAAAGTGTTATACTCATCACCATAAATAGGTGGGAAATATCAACACTCCATTAACAGATAGATTAGTGCATTAGACGAAGACACAAATGAGTGGAAGAGAGAAGAAGGAGAAATATAGAGAGGAAAAGAAGAGAGGGAGAGAGAAAGGGGAGCGAGAGAAAGTGAGTGACAGAGGAGATCGAGGCCCTATGAATTCTGCTTGTACTGTGTTTCTTCCCTCCTCACAGGCAGATGGCACTGTTAAGACTCTAACAAAGAGAAATCAGCATCACAAAGACATGATGCAACCGCCAGACACCCAGCAACACAGAGCAGAGGAAAGCGCATTCTCTTTTACATGCGTGTAGACATACTAGCACACATACAGACATGCATGCATGAACACACACACACCTCACCCCCCCACACTCACCCCACAGTGAACACAAGCCTGGTTTGGTAGTGGTAGTCTGTATCAAACTGTCTGACTGCATGTACGATGACTCACCTGTAAAACTGTTGTTCATTTCCGTAACCTGGTCGTCATCCTCGTAGTCAGCCGGCACTACACTGGCGTTTTGCATGTCATTGTAGGACTTGGTGCGCTTGGGAGTGGACTGCTGGGAGCCTGGGGGGCCGTCGAGGAGCACAGCATCACTGAGAATCACTGTCCCAACCACGGGCTGCCTCGGTGGCTTGGGGGTCCCATAATAGTTACCTAGGCAACAAGAGGGACATTAGCATGCCTGAGAGAGAGAGAGGAGGGAGGGGGAGGGAGAGGAACAGAGATAGAGAGGGGGGCAAGAGATAGATCAAGAGAGAAAAAATGAAGGGAAAGAGAGACAGAGGACAGAGATAGAGGGAAGGAGATCTATAAAATCTTAAAATCTTACGCAGGGGAAAAATAGACAATGCCAGAGCACAATGCATCCTGAAATGGTGGAAATAAGCAGCTGCTGGAAAATCAGGCTTTTCCCCCTAGCCAATGGTGTTATAGACTGAGAGGGGAGAGCTGTATTGTCTGGGAGCAGGGAGCATACACAGATAATACAATGGACCGGCTCAGAAGGGAAGAGAATCTTTACCTCGTTAAAGTATACATTAAAATGACTGGCTTATCATTGGTCAGTGCCAGATTTGTTACTAAGGTTTATTTCCCACAATGCAATCCAAGAGATAGAAACACATGTTCAATACAAAACACAAATTCTATGTCATTATCTACAACTGATAAAATGTATATCCTGAAAATATCTTCAGAAAGAATCCTGAAAATATCTTTAAAAAGTCTATCCACAATTCTTGGAAAGTGACAATTTTGGATATGAGAATGGAAGTCTTATCTCAATGCCACTGCATGTCATGTTACTGACACACTGTACATAGGTCTACCTCATATTTGTATTTGGAAGGCAATAGGCTCCTGTGGACAGGTATTTTACATTGTCTGCGGGGCAGAGAGAAAGGTGTCAAACACGCAGTAGTGCAGGTGCCAAGCAGACTAACGCTGTTGCACACACACACAACCCACAACACACACACACAACCCACAACACACACACACAAACACATAGGTGGATTGTAGTTTCTGTCAGGACAGAAGACTTTTCACTGCGGTACACTGTACTAATCTAGGTGAGGAGAATCTGGTGACCTGGTGAAATATTATCTTTTCCACTCCTACAGTCTACCATCATCACTATCATCATCATCATCATCATCATCATCATCATCTTCATCATCATCACCATCATCTTCATCACCATCACCAAAACCAACATCACCATTATCATCCTCACCTTCATATGTTCCTATTTCCAGTAGTGTTCCGCTCTTCTCAAGGTTTAGGAAGTCCTCTACGGACAGAAAGTTGTAATCAACCCCAGGGACCTCGCCGTCTCGAAGGGGGCGTGTCGTACCTGTGGAAAGAGAAAACCAAGGTTATTAATCTGTATTACTACCAACCAGCTTGACCGAAAACGAGGGAGCAGTTTTGTAGGTGGTTAACTCAATGGCAGTTACATTTGCCAAAACCTACCCTTCAATTAACAAACACAAAGGTTAGGGCCTCACTGTGGGTGGAAACAAAGATTGAGAATGAGAAAGGAGCCAGTAATGTATAATCAGTATTCAAACACAGCTAGGTCCATTAATCATAGGACTGAGAAAGAACCAGTCAGAAGAACAGGTCTCTACAAACAGGAAGTGTGGGAGCTGAATGCAGGGCCGGCCCGCCCATTAGGCAGGATTAGGTGGCCGCTTATGGCGGCAGATTGACGAGGGCGGCAATTTCCTAGCTAAAATGTCCAAGACGCACCTCCAACAACACACCTCACATAATTCTGCACAAAAAATAATAATGTGTCTCAACCAGTGACAGGCATATGGGCTTTTTAGGTGAGTGCTGATGCCGCCTTGTGATAAGCAGTGCCCACTTTGTCAAAGGCAGGGGCGTAAAATATTTTGGTTGTCCATTCCCAAAGCATCTTGGTGCTGTTGGACAAAATCTGAAGCAATGATAGATGTCTATGTTTGGTTCAGATTTGGTCTGGCCTTGATTTGGCCCAAACATAGACGTCTATAAATGAAGTCTTTTCAACTTTCATTCAGAACCGAAAAGGAACTTGATTTCAAAGTCTGGAAAAATATGTATTTTCAACATCCGGAAAATACTTATTTTTAATGTCCGGACGTATTTTAAACATGAGGAAAATATGTATTTTCACCTTTCATTCAGAACCTAAAATGAACTAATTTCACCATCTGAAAAATATGTATTTTAGGGGGTCTCGCCTAGGGCGGCAGAACGTCCAGGACCGGGCCTGGCTGAATGTGACAGGGTGCGATTTTGGTCACCGCTTCCTTTGAGACTGCAGTGAACAGAGCGAGTGGACGTGGACATGATGTGAGGAAACAGGAAATTAAGAAAGTCTCACTCACCCCTATCTCAATCTAGTAGTGGTGGCATACCACAGGCTTCAAACGCACACCAGAGATAAAATAAGGGTCATCTTTATCAACACAGAGGAACTGACACTATCGTCTGGTTATTTCATTTCCCTTCTGGCACTGTGATCATACAGTATGGCTCAAAAGACCCTCTGTGGTAGTTTTCTTTAAAAAGATTTGTCTTCATGGTCTAACTGAACCACGAAAAGGCCCATATTTGTCTCTAAAGTTCATCTGTAGAATAAAGGCCATGAAAAAAATGTGGACTATGTTGTTACACATAATGGTCTGAAAAAACAACATACAGTGGGGAAAAAAAGTATTTAGTCAGCCACCAATTGTGCAAGTTCTCACACTTAAAAAGATGAGAGAGGCCTGTAGTTGTCATCATAGGTACACGTCAACTATGACAGACAAAATGAGAAAAAAAATCCAGAAAATCACATTGTAGGATTTTTAATGAATTTATTTGCAAATTATGGTGGAAAATAAGTATTTGGTCACCTACAAACAAGCAAGATTTCTGGCTCTCACAGACCTGTAACAACTTCTTTAAGAGGCACCTCTGTCCTCCACTCGTTACCTGTATTAATGGCACTTGTTTGAACTTGTTATCAGTATAAAAGACACCTGTCCACAACCTCAAACAGTCACACTCCAAACTCCACTATGGCCAAGACCAAAAAGCTGTCAAAGGACACCAGAAACAAAAGTGTAGACCTGCACCAGGCTGGGAAGACTGAATCTGCAATAGGTAAGCAGCTTGGTTTGAAGAAATCAACTGTGGGAGCAATTATTAGGAAATGGAAGACATACAAGACCACTGATAATCTCCCTCGATCTGGGGCTCCACGCAAGATCTCACCCCGTGGGGTCAAAATGATCACAAGAACGGTGAGCAAAAATCCCAGAACCACACAGGGGGACCTAGTAAATTACCTGCAGAGAGCTGGGACCAAAGTAACAAAGCCTACCATCAGTAACACACTACGCCGCCAGGGACTCAAATCCTGCAGTGCCAGACGTGTCCCCCTGCTTAAGACAGTACATGTCCAGGCCCGTCTGAAGTTTGCTAGAGTGCATTTGGATGATCCAGAAGAGGATTGGGAGAATGTCATATGGTCAGATGAAACCAAAAAGGAAACCGTGTAAAGGAAAGAATGAATGGGGCCATGTATCGTGAGATTATGAGTGAAAACCTCCTTCCATCAGCAAGGGCATTGAAGATAAAACGTGGCTGGGTCTTTCAGCATGACAATGATCCCAAACACACCGCCCGGGCAACGAAGGAGTGGCTTCGTAAGAAGCATTTCAAGGTCCTGGAGTGGCCTAGCTGTCTCCAGATCTCAACCCCATAGAAAATCTTTGGAGGGAGTTGAAAGTCCGTGTTGCCCAGCGATAGCCCCAAAACATCACTGCTCTAGAGGAGATCTGCATGGAGGAATGGGCCAAAATACCAGCAACAGTGTGTGAAAACCTTGTGAAGACTTACAGAAAACATTTGACCTGTGTCATTGCCAACAAAGGGTATATAACAAAGTATTGAGAAACTTTTGTTATTGACCAAATACTTATTTTCCACCATAATTTGCAAATAAATTCATAAAAAATCCTACAATGTGATTTTCATGATTTTTTTGTCTCATTTTGTCTGTCATAGTTGACGTGTACCTATGATGAAAATTACAGGCCTCTCTCATCTTTTTAAGTGGGAGAACTTGCACAATTGGTGGCTGACTAAATACTTTTTTTCCCCACTGTATGTGTGGGCTATTCAGAGGAGATTACTTTCTACTACATCTGGTCAATTCATTTTCTCCTTCTGGCCTGCACCTTTAAAGTTACCACCCTTCTCAATATCAACCATCTGGCCACATTTTCAGTTAAAAGGTTGGCTAATGTCAAAATGAGCTTCAAGTTCCTTGGCGTCCACATCACTAAGGACTTAACATGGTCCACACACACCCGTACAGTCGTGAAGAGGGCATGGCAGCGCCTCTTCCCCCTCAGGAGGCTGAAAAGATTTGGCATGGGCCCTTGGATCCACAAAAAGTTATACAGCTGCACCATCGAGAATAATAAAATAGTAACACTACCTCGTTCAAAGGCACTTAAATATTTTGTCTTTACCATTCACCCTCTGAATGACACACATACACAATCCATGTCTCAATTGTCTCAAGGCTTAAAAATCATTTTTTAACCTGTCTCCTCCCCTTCATCTACACTGATTTAAGTGGATTTAACAAGTGACATCATTAAGGGATCATAGCTTTCACCTGGATTCACCTGGTCAGTCTATATCATGGAAATAGCATGTTCCTAATGTTTTGTAACCTAACCTTAAACCCTAACCCTAAAACCAATCCTAGCTCCTAACCCTAACCCCAAACCTAATTCTAACCCTAACACTAAACCCTCTAGAAATAGCATTTGACCTTGTGGGGACTGACAAAATGTCCCCAGTTGGTGGCAAAACAATGTGTTTAGTTAGTTAAACACGTCCAAACACACACAAACACACACACACACACACACACACACACACACACACACACACACACACACACACACACACACACACACACACACACACACACACACACACACACACACACACACACACACACACACACACACACACAGAGCCTCAGTATCATTACAGTGGGAGGGAGTTGAGAGAAGACAATAAAGACAGGGGTCATTGAGTTCCTCTCTTTACAGAGACAGAGATGACAGGGGTCGTCACACACCTGGCAGATGGCTGACGGAAGTCATAACCCATCTGTGAGTAGGAAAGTCAGGACACACATGCACACATTGCCGGGGAGGCAGGCACGCACACACAGCTTGGTAAGTGCTCAAAGTTGTCGTCCAGAACCAAAGCCGCTTATCTGACACAAACATTCAAAGCACTGTATTTACTTTCAGTCTGCCTATGAACTCAAGCATTAGATCACTCAGGGAACAACCTGTGTCTAAACATCTCAAAATAACTACAGTTCATCGTGGCACAGAGAGGTAAGATTTAGTGTCTTTGCTCTTCTCTTTTCCATTTTAAATGAATTACAGCAGCAGCGGTTTCATACTCAGGCCATCTCCCTATCAAAGAGCCATACAATACACTATGATGAGTCACCTAATTGGCAAATTTTATACTGTACCTCTGCTGCTCTGTGTGTATCACAGGGACCGGAGTTGAAGAAAGTAACGTTTGCTGGGAGTTTGAGTCATCGTCGTTGCCATACAAAGTGAGTCCCTTGGTGATCTATGAGTCTGTGGCACAATGTGTTCTAATCTAATGAATGTCTCTGCTGTGGAGGGAGTGGATGAGCTGTTCTCTCTCTGGTAGTATTCCCCACACTGGGGGCATATGATGCGGTGAGTAATGCAGTTGGTGCTGATAGAGGAGTAGCTCAATACTTCTGTAACAAGTACTGTATCATTGAATAATTATAAAGCAGCTCCACTAATTTGGATTGAGACTTGTTGGGTTTCAGAGAGCTGCAAGTTATTTTCCAAGCCAATGTTTTCCACTTAAACTCCTCCCAGTCTGCTACAGGAAGGATGCTCTAAATATCAAGTTGAGGAAATAGTAGGACACAACCCTCTCTGTTCCACTGTCATCTTAAAAAACATGAAACACTGTTCAAAATAGGAGTTCCAGGTTCCTTTCAAATTCAAACCCTAATGTCAGTTGAGCTCTCAGCAGCACTGGACTTGTGGGATACATAACATAATGGATTCTTCATGCAGGCAGGCAGGCAGGCAGGCAGGCAGGCAGGCAGGCAGGCAGGCAGGCAGGCAGGCAGGCAGGCAGGCAGGCAGGCAGGCAGGAGGCAGACAAAAGACTCAGTGAGGACAGGCTTGGCCTCATTACTATCTGTGTCCCTCCTCTCTATTCTCTGAAACCACAGGAACAATGACTGGGCCTAACTCAGGCTGATGAACTTCCAAAGCCACTCAGC